ATTAAGTATTTTCTGACTTTCGCTTAACGATGATAGTTTAATACAAATGGGAATCTGCCTTTAAACAATATACAGGGTGTCCCGTAAGCACATGATCAAAAGGGTACTGCGATATTCTTTGGAATACTTCAAGAGATTCCTTTTATTTCAATCACTTCTACCATTTAGCTAGGTGCTGCTACCAAGCATATGACCCAAATGTAATAATTAGTAATACATTTCATTTTCAAACGTCCCCCCTTGAAACCCCATAGTTACACAAAGAAGTTTAAAGATAAACCTAAAGTTTCTTAATTAAATCTTAGTTTTTTAATTGAGTTCTCGAACCAATAATACTTGTATGCTGTCTTCATCATGTATCCAAAAAATATAAAAATATAACAAAATAGTACATTGATAACATAACAGATCACAGAACCACACATAACATGCCACTTCATAATGATTTTATAAAAAAATTATGAGTTTCAGTATTAACATTTCGAATCTAATGTAACTGTGTTTCGTTATACCGAAAGTTTCAGGACAAAATAAGCAAAGTTCAGAGCTATTCAGAGGCGGAAAGTTTAACTTGTTGGTAACTTTCACTTTCTTCCGTAGAGCCATTTTCCTTATGATAAGCAACACACGGGATTCGCGAGTATATCAAGTAAAAGTTTTAACCGATTTAGACGTTTCCCAACGATGATCCACGAGATGATTTTTCGTCATTGTCATACAAAGTTATGAATTATGATATGTTGATAGCCACGTATATGTCTGGAAACATGATTACGGCTGTGCCTTTTCATAGAAACTAATAAACACGCATTATTTTTTTCATTAGAAAATGAACTTAACTTCAAGCAAGTTTCGCAAAGTTTTATTTGTAATGTTCAGCCTGGTATATTCGAGTAATAAACTGACAAAAGTTATGTAACCTTTATTCCGAAGTCTTCATGAAACGACGATATGTTTGAATTCATTAATGTGTGCAAAAGTACGGGTTTATGAATGGACCCGTTGGAAATCTGAAAAGAGGAGAGACGAAAAAATACATTTAAACTATAATCATATGTGTAATAAGAAAAAACAAATTTAATGATGCAGTATCTGTATTCTCCACATATCCAGTTTCATTCCAGTCCAATAGCAAAATGCATCAACAAGAATTCGAAGCATCAACAGAATATGAAATAAGGACTCAGGAACCCTGACAGGGGGTTCAGGTACTCTTATTGTATTTGTGAAATGATGACAGTTTTTTTTGTTGTTGTTAATCGGGACGTTTTAATATCTATGTAGAGACAAAGACAAAGCAAAGCCAATTTAACTACAAGTTGAAATTCGCAATTGAAGCTAAATTATACAGCCGGATGCAGTCCTCCGACATTCATATAATTATTCAAGTTCATTATATCAGAGTTTCACGTTAATTTTGCACGTGAGAGTTATTAACGTTCCATATAACTCTAAGGCTAAACCGTTATTTAAATACGCTATAAGCTTTACTATCTCTAGACCCTCATAGAGCTGAACTCAAACTATTTAGGTCTTCATATAATTTATACGATGCTAGGCTTTTGGCGTTCGACCTATCTAGTTGGACACTCGCCAACCCATTAATCGTTTTAATGGCAAACCTTCCTCAGCGAATTGCCAGGAAGTTACCTGTTACTGGCCATGTTTTTAATAGAAGCAGAACAGATTATTACCTAAAAGAAATTGACAATTTATTACTCCGACAATTGCTTAAATATTCAATCTCTATTTAATATTATTTTAATTTAGTTATATAATGTAATGAGAAAAAATATAACTTATAAATGTAGGAAAAGCTATTAAAACAATTATTATAGAAAAGCTCTGTGAATTGTTCATGCTTAACAAGTCATGTTTGATGTATAACGTCCATTTACATTTACGAAAAGAAGAAAATTTTAAACAACGATCCGAAATAACAGTTTATGTAGCACATATCGAAAACTATATTTGCAAAAGTCTGGAGGAAAAATGTATTCCAGAGAACATTTATCCTTTTTCCCTTTCAGGTGCATTCTAATGGTTGCAATTCATAATCATATCATTTACGCAAAAATAGAAACTGTCGATACAACTTCTAATGGTATGAAAACTATTGTCGGTTAGCTGACCTCAATTACACATAGATTAGGTATGGGTAACTCAGTGAATTTTCAAGAGTTGCAGTCAAAGCACCGGCACAGTGTGTTGCAGTCACTCATTTGGTAAAACGTTACTCAAAAAGAATGTGATGGTCATTTTTTTGCTATGTGTTACCAGCTCTGGAAATGGTACGGCTCGAATTCGCCCCTGGGTTAAATGCTAAGCGGAATTCAAGATGCTGCACAGTGAAACGCGATGCGTTTTAACAAACAACTCAGACACTAGAAATAAGCTTCAAGTTTAGAATTGTGCGTTTAGTAGAGAAGCTATGAAAGTTATGAAAGTTTTCACAGAATTTAAAGGAACATGGCACTAAAAAATGCGTGACACATTTTAAATTGAGTTTAGAAAATAAATTTCTCAGAAACCGCAAATACTCTGCAAGTTCAGAGTTGTGCGTTCAGTAAAGAATAGTGCGTTGAAAATGTCAAAATTTCTTCAAACTTTCAAAAATTCATTTAAATCACATCAAATCCTGAACTTTGCGAGCTTTCTAAAAGGTGATTTAAAAATGAACGGTTGTACACAACTGAAGACTCTTCCATCGAAAATTCCAACTTCCAAGTTAAATCAGGTAGAAACTTGAAAAATTGACATTCTGTAGAAGAACTTGCACTTAAATCTCTAATATTCTGCCTTTTCTGACATATCTACCAGACACACGCACATGGTTATAACTGTATCGAATTTCCGATTCTCTATCCAATGGTATGAAAACGAACTCTGGGGCTGAAGTGATTCTTCAATTTCGCAATTTAAAGCAAAACAGGCAAAATGAGAACTCTTGACAATTTTTAACAAAAAATATAAAACTGGAACCCAAATTTCCATCTATGAAGCGGTTCTTCCAATATTCCGAAAGTTTAAAAATAAATTTCGAAAAAACCAATAGCTCAATCGATACCAACTTCACCCTGCGAGTCAGTTGATGAATATGTGACTAAAAGTTCTACATATACATGTCAACCAGGGTAAAGTAATGCTAGACTTACCAAAAGCTGGGTAGTTCCACCTGGAAACAAAGAAGAACATGTGTTTAGTATAGCAGGAAATTTGTCCAAAGGCAAACTTATTTGAAATAAGCAAAGCAAAGAGAGAGAAATGAAGATAAAGAATCCATAAAACTTCAGTAGCTTGTCGGAAAACTAAATTCAGTTCAAGCTTAAAGATTTATAAATTAGAGCTTTTTAGCAGATTTTTACAAGCTGGCGCCCCATCGTCCATTTTCTACACTATAATGCTGGAAAAGTTCACTACCCCTTCACTCTACACACAATTAAAATCGACTTCAAATAGAGAAATTTAATTCTGCAGTTATCAGGTAGGATAAGACCCACAATGATTCCATATTTCCTAAAACGCGATTGACACGACACTGTCGGTAGCAAACTGAATATTCATACACTTTTTCGAGAAAAAGGTGATCGAACTACAGAATAAATATTATATAATAATTTGCTTGTTCGCGTTTTCCTTGATGCAATTTACTCGGCAGTTCGATTGCAGTTTGTTTATTGTTCACATTTTTGTAGAAAGTTCCTGTTCGCATGACAATATTTCCAAAGACAAATTTTTACGTTCGAACTTCGTTAAGTTCAACTAAACCAAGTCAACAACAACCAAACCAAAAACGCTCCAAACGCCGATCTTTGAAAGTATTGAAAGTAGTTGCACGTTAATAAATTAGTTCAAATAAATAATTCAGCAGTACAGAAAATAAGTGCTGCAGAGAATGAAGGAATATTTTTTGCAAATCATGTTTATCTGAGTTTAGCCTATTTTTGAAACCAAGAACAGCAGGAATGCTGAAAAATTGTACGTAAAATATAAACAACTGTTGGTTTGAAACAATTCTAAGAAAATGTGCTTTCGACAAATGCAGTAGTTAATTTTGAATAGGTAACCGGATTGGCACACTACAGTATAACTAACTTATGTCTACTATCCAACTGATCACATTTTCCCTGAGAGCTGCAATTTGACTTGTCCCTTTCAGACTTATCTCTATAAACCGAATTTGATTGGCGTTTTGCTCTCAATAGCCAAGAAGAGTCACGTTTCCCTTTATTATACGATTGCCGATAGCCCTTGGGAAACGTGATGTTTTGCTAAACGCTCCAATAACCCTCTTGTCGAGAGTATTTCATTCGAAACGCTTTACACAGGCAAAAACCGACTAAAGGTCACTCTTGATATATATTCCTTTAATTACTATTTTAAAGATGTATAGTCGGCAATTTAAAACAAGCAAACTTCAGTTACTCTAAACACGTTTGTAAAAATTCTACTAAATTTGGTTTTCATTAAACGTTGAAGCAACTTCCACAGCAAATAAAAATTCGTTAGTAATTATAATGTATAAAAAAGGAAGAGTTGTCGAAAATTAGATGTTTCAAATTTGTAATATCAGATGATCCATCCAATCCAGGTAATCAGGTGAAACGGGAAATTTGGAATTGGAATTTCTTAAAAATGATGCCTGTTAAATGACTCTCTTCTCGGTTGTGGTCTTGGCATTCTTTAGTTCAGTCAGCAAAAATTTATTTTTTTTTGTGTCCGAAGCAACAATTCATATTCTTTTCGTCCACTATTGGGCGACGCCAATGGCGTTCTGTTCAGAACTCCATAAATCAACGCGAGAGCAGGTGTTGGGACATTTTAGGCAATTCCTGAGATGTGCCATGTCTTGTATTTCTCCGCTGTCATAGAAATCGTCTTGGTGGTATATTTGGTTCCATCTAATCTTGTTGGTTTTCACAGCTGGATCTCAGTTTTTATATAATCAATAATTTATTTATAAAAAAAAATATTTTAATTAAAATGGACTAAAATTTTTCTTTGTAAACTATTCTAAGAACGTAAGTTTTATTAATTTGAATCCGGCATTCACAACGTTTGCAAATGCCTTTACAATTTTATCGGATAATATATACAATTAATGCATTGTTTTAGAGACTGCTGGTTTGCGTGATGTACACATTGTTGTTCCGCGAGCCGTAATTAAAGGAACCGATGTAGAACTTCAATGCTTGTTTGACCTAGAAGGAGAAAAGTTGTATTCAGTTAAATGGTGAGTAATCTTTCATTTTCAAAAATGTTTTCGTAACGTTACAGGTTCAATTTTCAGTAAAGTATGGACTTATTTATCATGTGGCATCATAACACATGTATGTAAGACTTGCATAGGCTTTTGCTTGGAAAAGGTAATCTTTCGCTCCATTGGTCGCCTTCGGGAAATCATTGAAGTCAGTTTTGTAAGCGCTGCTTAGCAGTCACTTCTTCAGGGTGGTATTTTGTGCCACTTTGGTGAAGCGAGTCTATGAATCTGCCGCATCCAGTGCGTTTATAACTAGGTGACTTTTGGTATATGCACGGCGGATTCTGGCATAGAACTGGGCAGGATTATCTCCATTCCTCTTTCTAGAGGTCTAAGTTGAATTAATATGAAACGCACTCTTCTTCTATCTAGGACGAAAATGGCACTGGATGAGCAGCTGGAGGTTTTCTCGTTTTCTGTTAAGTTCTCGAACGAGAGCAGATTTGCATCGGAGGTCAGGCGGTGTTATGTGGGTTAGGACTGGTAGACATGAAGTTCTAGTAGATGTTAGTGTATAGCTACTCTTCCTCTGGAGCTATATTATGAAGCTGAGAAGACAAGTTTAATTCTCATGAGGTTCCACAGGGTCTGTGCAAGATCGTATTTCTTGCTCGAAGTGCTTGCGTACAGCAGTTTCCAGCTTTATTTCCAGCAGCTGCTCTTTTCCCGTGATTTTTTCTGTCTGGTCATATCAACGTGGCTTCTTAATTATTTGCCGTTTTGTCTTTTATTCTCTATAGTCCTCAATCCGACTTTCCGCTCCTACCAATAATTGTTTGGCATTGACTTACCGCATCTTCGTCCAGCTTCTGAATGTTGCACCTTATTCGCTGAAGCATATCTTCATTTCTTACATTTCTATGTTAGTACATTGA